GGGAAAGAGCATAATTACTTGAAGCAAACAAGACCAGCTACTAATTATTTGAGAGGCTTACATATATATTATAGCATAAAATGAAAATTTTTTTATTTTGCAATTCAGAGTGCAAAACAGAAACTATTAGATGAGGGAAAAGCCTCAATATTTAAGAGTTCATTTATATTCAATGATTTAAGTTATACAATTCAATACAAATCAGATTACACAATAATTTAGCTGATCAAAAAAAAAAGATTACACAATAATTTATTATAAAATGAAATGATAATGAGTAAAAGCTGTCACAGCCCCTTGCCATTTTGAGGTTTCTTACCATTTAGCTTTTGAAGAACTTCAATAGCTTCAGAATGATACCCCTCATTTGCATCCAAGAAAAGACGCATTAAGGGTGAGCTGCCCTAATGGCTTGAACTTGAAGGAAACATCACCATCTACATTTATGTTCTTGCCCACGTTAAGCTTGAATGTCTTAAATACTAGTTTTCTGTAATTTGAAGCCAATTCAAAACCTTTAGCAGAGCAAGTAGTGGGAATCTACACATTTGAAAATAACTAAGATTAAGATTCTTTTTTAACCTTTAAATTGATTAAATGACTCAACCTGCTATATTATCAAAATAAACTCATTAAACTAATTCATTATTTATACTTAATCATATTGCATGGTTGGTAAAATGTTAATACAACATTCCAGCAATTACTTTACCTTTATTTATTTATTTACTTTTATGAGAAGAAAGAAAGAAACAGTACCTTAGATGGAGCTTACATCGTTATAATAGAAATAAAATTAATGGGGAGTCGCAGCATCAAAATGAATTGTCAAGATGGCCGAGTTGGTCTAAGGCGCCAGTTTCAGGTACTGGTCCGAAAGGGCATGGGTTCGAATCCCATTCTTGACATCAGCTGTTCTTCCCTTTTATTATTTTTATTTTTATTTTATAATTTTTATTTTTTAAAAAAGGCCTTGCAGGTGTCACCTAATTTTCAGCTTGGCATGATGGTATTTTTAAGCAAGACATTTTTACAAATTTTGTAAATCCGAAGAGAGAAGAAAGTATGGAAAATAATTTTTGATTTTTTTTTTTTTCAACTCTCTGATCTCTTCCTTCTCCATACAATGCAAGTCTCCATACAATAAGTCTATAGATATGTTAAAAGATAATAAATATAACATAAATAAACTTAATGAAAGATTCATGAATTAAGTGAAATATTGAACATAACTTGTTGGTTTTATTAATGTAGTGGTTTCGTAAATCTAGTAGTTTAATAAATAATATTTAGTTAAATAAATAAGACTTAGTGGTTTAATAAATAAAATTTTATTTATTATACTACTAGATTCATTATTCATTAAACTACTAGATTCAAAAAAATACCTCATTTATACAACTAGCAAGCTTTATTTAATATTTCACTTAGTTCATGAATTTTCATATAAATCCCATGTCCCATACTTTCTCCGCTCTTCTTAGTTCTTACCTCATTGTTTTACTGTTTTTTTATATATTCTTACTTATACTCAAGCTCATTTTTATCACTTAAAAGTTTAAACTACTGTTACTGTATATATAGTCTACAGCAGCTGAGACAAAATAATTAACAGGCAAACCATTCGTCTTAGTTGAATATAACAACGAAACCCAAAGAAAGGTTGAATATAAACGAGGTTCAAGGTTACATATGGATGCGCTGGCCCGAAAAAGGTTACATATTTTTTTTTTTTTAAACAGTGTGAAATCTTTTTTCTTGGAAGAAGGGGGAATGGGGGGACTTGGGATTATCCCAAGTCCTAGTAGTCCTACGCACGTCCTTTGCAAGGGGTAGTCATTTGGCAACCGAGTGCGGGACCGAAAAAGGTTACATATTAACATATGTATGGGAAAATATAATGAAAAGTTTAAAAATCTTTCTGATATGCATGTAACTTCTCAAAATCATTTTCACAGCAAACCATTTCCTCCGATGACGCTAATCTCATTGGTCCTGCCCTGTTTCCTCTTGGCTCTTTACTTTGCCTCGGAGCATGTCTGTGAAATTTCCCCTCATGATACGCAAAAACCTTGTGTCCTCAGCTGCAGGAGGTGTTATGGCCATTGGAGATTCTACTGCTTCAGGTTGTGGTTCAGCACTATCTTTCTTACCCAATAGCCCGCCTTCCCCGAAGAGGCTAGTCACTGACGACGCAATTCCAAGATGAGCACTCATCCCCATCACCTTACTGATTGCCTCAAAAGTCCCACCTGATCTTTCCTTCATTATCATCTCAAGAGCTTCCTTGTGTGCTGGATCTAGAGCATCAGGATCTTTTAATAGATTTTGTATAGCAGGCAGGAGTAATTCCCGAATACCATTTGCAGAAAGATCTGCAAAAACAAGATTTCAAGCATCAAAAGACATTTATGAGATGGAACTTTTCAAATTATTCCATCACGAATAAACTAAAGTAAAATCTGGTCATTATTATTCATTTAGGGATTATTTCTCTAATAACAAGACTGAAGGACATGCAGAGGCACCTCTTCGAGCAAAGAAATATAATAGCGACTTAACCAGATCCAATAGCCCTAGAATTTTTATTTTTTTTGTAATACAATGGCCTTAGAATTGATTTATTTAATGCAAGAAATGAAGAGAATATTAAAAAGAACACAAGATGTTTCTGTCAATTAAGATTTAAGAAGTGAACCTGTTGCATCCAAAGCACGAATCGCTTCACAGAACGCATTAGCTCTCTGACGGCGACGGACCACGTCACTTACAGAAACTGACATGCCTGTCAGTTGGAAAATCTTGGACAAAAGATGTATAGCATGTTAAAGAAACAAATGGCTCAATAAAATGATTCGCTAGCAGTATCATATTACTAGTTAAAATGTGAGACTACTCAATATTCCAAATACTAAAGAAGTCTTGGAAATTGTTTTAGCAACAAAGTCAAGGATATAATCCCTAAGTCTATCCGTTGTATGTGGAACTGCTACCACCAATGCACGGATAACAGCAATAGTTGCTTCATGGGATCCATCTTCAAGAAAAGCATCCATTTGAACACGTATTTTATCAACAATCTGCAATATGAAAAACATAATAAGAGAAAATATATGGACATTGCAGCTCAATGTCACCCATAACCAGAAAAAAGACCATACCATATCATTTTTAAAATGTTGTGCAACAGTTCCGAATGCATCTATACTTGCATACTTCACATTGAGATTTTGGTCAGAACCAAGGGTAACTAACGCAGGCAGAACATGAGTAGAAGCAAGTTTTGCTTCAATATATGGCACCTATTAAAAAAAGGAAGTTGGACAGTACTAATCTTATATCAGGTGTCACAGGAAGTAATATTATAAAAGGAATGATAAATAAGCTACTTACAATGACTTTCAATAGATGGGCTGCACTGATCTTCATTTCTATGTTAGAGCTTACTACCATTTCCCAAAAAATATTGAATATCATACTATGATGTTCTTCAAATGTGCTGCATTAAGCAAGAAGCCCATTAGGGTAACTATAAACTGCATACAAGCTGGATAGTATGATTTCCAAATACAAACCAAAGAAAGCGGACAGCATCAACAATTTCATTGCGGCAATTTAAATTTTGATCCTCTTTCATGGTTCCATCAACTAAAAGCTTTCTTAAGTACTCTGCTAACAGTTCACACTTGCTGGGAGCACCTAGAACACCTGCCAAAAGAAGTGGCAGGACACATAGAGTAGCAACTCTCTCAGCCACAGCAGTCCTAGGTCTTAACCCTGAAATCAAGCAACAACTGATAAACAACATGAAATGATGTCAAATTACAAATACTAATAACAATAATAATAATACTAATCCATACCTTTAATTCTTGAGTGGATGTTGGAAGGGATTAATGTCAAATCAGCATTATCCCCAACTGCAATAAGGAATATAGGTAGCATTATGTGCGTCAAATAAGAATCACCAAAGCTCTGAGATACAGCCAATAAAAACTGCAAGAAGATGTTTAAATTAGCCATAAATTTAAGAGCACTGTTTGAACTTTGAAGGGGTACAGTCATCAGTCTGAGCAAAAGCATCCCAGAAATAACTGCAAGGATACCAAATACCTTCGTAGTTCGGTTTCTTAAGTTATCTTCTTTTTGGGGCAACAAGCAAGCAAGTTGAATCAAATCAGGAAGGCAATCAACATGCATCCATTCGAATGCAGGCCATTCAACATGTCCTCTATTATGGTACAAAAATTTATCAGAATCAAACATGGCCCAAAGCTTTCAAAATGTTGCACAATGTTAATGACTAATCATAAAAGCTAGTTTTACACACAAATAGCATAGGTAATTGAAAAGTAAAGAATGAAACGAGAGCTTACCCAGCATAAAGTTCAAGCAGGGGGCGAGAAAATATGGTTCCATCTGACTCTGAAACCGAAGAATATGGGCATGTTTCAATTGCCTTCTGGTGCACATAAGGAAGTAATTCTGCCAGCATCCTAAGTAAAACATCGAGGTTCCAGCGTTCTCGTTCACCTAAAACGTGTAGATGAGACTCCACTGAACCTTCCACCCCAGAAAGAGGAGGACACCGCTGAAATTTCAGATTAAACCAAATTAAAGGGAAAAAGCTTTTCAAAATGAGGAAAAGAATCCCCAAGCAATAAAGAGAAATTTATTGTAAGAAAAAGAAAAATACCTGAGCAGAACTTAAGATATGTGAGAGCAAAACTCTCAAAATATGGTCTAATTTCTTTCCCCAACTGATAACAGCAGGAAGTAGTTCCTTGATTGTAGTTTCTGCCACCACTCCAGAAGGGTCACAGGCCAATTGGAACATCAATTCTTCCACCTATCAACAAAGAAAATGAGCCTTGGGAGAATTCTTTATTATTATTATTATTATTATTATAATTCTCTATTTCTACAGGTTATTATCTTATTCTAAGGGTATAAGGCTCCATTCCCTAGACCATGCATCATCAACCTGCTCTAGAGCTTACATTGTAGTCAATCTGTCAAGTCAGAATGCTTCTCCATGATTGCCTCGAAGCA